TTCTTTCTTTCTTTCTTTCTTTCTTTCTTTCTTTCTTTCTTTCTTTCACTGCCTATGTGGACAGGCAGTTATCCTGACACCATTTGTTGAAAAGATCATTCTTTCCCATTAGATTGTCTTGGCACCCTTGTTGAAAATCAATGATCTATAAATATATGAGTTTATTTGTGGACTTTCAATATATGTCTATCTTCAATGCCAGTACCACATTGTCTTGATTAGTGTAGGTTTATCATAGGTTTTGAAATTGGAAAGTCTGTGTCTTCTACCTTTTATCTTTTTCAAGATTGTTTTTGGCTACTTTGGGTCCCTTGCATTTCTTTTTTTTTTTCTTAATTGTTTTTGATGTTTATTTACTTTTGAGAGAGATAGAGAGACAGAGCTTAAGCAGGGGAAGGGCAGAGAGAGAGGGAGACACAGAATCCAAAGCAGGCTCCAGGCTCTGAGCTGTTAGCACAGAGCCCAACGTGGGGCTCGAACCCACAGACCATGAGATCATGACCTGAGCCTAAGTTGGACACTCAACCGACTGAGCCACCCAGGCACCCCAGGTCCTTTGCATTTCTATATGAATTTAGGATTAATTTGTCAATTTATGCAAAAAAAGCAGCAAAAAAGTAGACCAATTTGGGGAATATTGCCACCTTAACATTACTTAGTCTTCTCCAGCGCTATTCTTAAAAAATAAAACAAACCACAAACCTCAACAGTTACTTAACTCACATAACCACAATTATTGTTTCTCTGCAGTGTGGATAGCTCCTATTTCCTCTGGCTCCCTTTTAAAATGGAATGCTTTGCCTTCTAAATGAATTTTTTTTTACCAGACAAACTCAACTCTGTATATATTTTCATATTAGACTATAATGATTCTAGTGGGTTATTGGGAGTAAATACTGTATGTATTTCACTAAAAGATGGAAATACCAAGGCAAAAAAACAAACATTCCAATGATTGGCCAATATGCCAGCAAACAGGTGGGTCTGTGATGAAGAGGAAAGGTTCCTGTTTCTCATACTACGATGGTCTCCTAGAGGATTAGCAAGAGCTGATTTTGAACCCTGACCACTCTGTTCCTCTCCATTGCATACCATTCTTTAATGTGCAGTTTTTTAAAAAGTACTTAATTTCTGTGAATATGTTTCTTTTCTTTATAATAGTGATGTCATCCAGGTATTCAGGTGTCTGTAATATGTCACACTATTTTTTTTGAGATTTTATTTTTTAATAATCTCTACACCCAACATGGGGCTCGAAGCCACAACCTCAAGAACAAGAGTCACAGGCTTCACCGACTGAGCCAGCCAGGCACCCCTAAATCACACTTCATTTTATTTTATTTATTTTATTTTTTTTCAACGTTTATTATTTTTGGGACAGAGAGAGACAGAGCATGAACGGGGGAGGGGCAGAGAAAGAGTGAGACACAGAATCGGAAACAGGCTCCAGGCTCTGAGCCATCAGCCCAGAGCCTGACGCGGGGCTCGAACTCACGGACCGCGAGATCGTGACCTGGCTGAAGTCGGACGCTTAACCGACTGCGCCACCCAGGCGCCCCGCACACTTCATTTTAATGACAAATTATAGTTGCCTGTGTCCCTCCCCCCCCCCCCCCCCCCCGTCTGGCTGCCAGAAACTAACCCCTTCACAGTGTCTGGCACTTGTCTCTATGAATCCTTAGAGGGTGCCTCACATGCCCAGAGTCTGCTCATCATATATGCCCCCAGTTGCCTCTTCTGCACTTGGCCCCACCCCCACCCCACCTCAGTTCTGCTAGGCCTCCCAGAGATGCTCATCACCGGATTGCTGAAACCATGCAAGAGTGCTATTTTGGGATTCATTTAAACCTCCCCATTCTGGGGGCACCAGAGAAATGCCATTTCTGGATACACAAAGAGAATGGCCTCCTCTACCCTAAATGTAGCAAGCAACTCCACTCAGTCCTGAGTCTGAGTCATTCTTGAAAAATCCAAATAGCTCAGGCCCCTTTATTCCTAACCATTCTCCCACCGGATTGAACCACCTACTGGGGAGAAACAGCATCTCAATTGCATCATTCTCTACTTTTCTTATCTCCAGGGCATCCAAAACTTCTCCTCCTTCCTGGTGGCCAAAGAGAAGGTGAATGAATGTAAGAAAAAGAGGGGTGAGAGTGGGGGGCCACCTTACTAACACAGTGGGGCGTCTGCTTTCTGGGGCAGACGTGAGTTTCTGTTGGTTGAAAATGGTACCTACCCCCAAGAAGCGTTATGAGGATTAACTGAAGTAATACAAATAAAAATATGTGAAAATAAGGGTGCCTGGGTGGCTCAGTCGGTTAAGCATCCAACTTCAGTTCAGGTCATGATCTCCGCTCATGAGTTTGAGCCCTGTGCTTACAGCTCAGAGCCTGGAGCCTGCTTCGGATTCTGTGTCTCCTTCTCTCTCTGACCCTGCCCTGCTCCTGCTCTGTCTCTCCGTCTCAAAAATAAAATTAAAAAAATAATAATAATTTAAAAAATACATGAAAATAATGCAAAATAAAAAAAATAATGCAAACAAAAAAGATATTTTCTTCTGGGTTTTAAAATATCAAAAGTGACAGGATTCCTTTTCTAGTTAAGAGCACCTTTTCCAAATATTTCTCACTGCCCCTAGGGTAATGTCCCCAGGGCCTGTGACTCGAGGAAAGATTCCTGGGGTAAGCCCCCTCCTTCCTATGGATTTACATGCTTCCGTCCAGTCCAGAGCACCGATCAAACTGAAAGTCAGAATTTCTTCCTTCTCTGCTTTCCTGCCAGGCACTTGGGGGTGGTGTGCTGTCTGTTTATGGGTTTGGCCAGCTGGTGCCAGAACATCGGGGCACAGTGCCTCTTCCGAGCTTTTTGCCCAGGGCAGGAAAGGACGGAGGTGTCCCAGCCCACCCTCCTGCCCACAAGGCCAGGGCATTTCAGTACAGTCACTGCCCTGGGCGTTGACAAAAATAGAAGCTTGTTTCATCCGCCCTGCACCAGGCCTTCCCATAACTCCTCCTCTCCAGAAATTCCCACTGGCTGTTAGGAAGCTAGCTGAACTTCTCTACCCCGTGGGCTCTGCCCCTTGCCGCTTTTCAGCCCTGCTTCTGATACAGGCACTGGCCAGCCGCTGCATCCCCTTTCCTTTCACTTCCATTTCAGTACAGGTGCTGCCAACCAGGCACCCTGACAAAGCTGTCCCTTCTCCAATCTGG